TCCTGCTTTCTCTCCTCTCAGAACATCCCCACCTTGGGAAGCGTAGCAATAACCATGGCGCTCCACAACTGTGATGAGGTGGCGGTAGCTGGGTTTGGCTATGACATGAGTTCACCCAATGCACCACTGCACTACTATGAGAACATCAAGATGTCTGCCATCAAAGAGGTAGGGAGCTCCTGCCGAGCACATCTTCCTCCCAAGCCCGCCGACCGCCCTGACTGCAGAGCCTGACTGGGGTGGTGTTGACAACTTACAGCTTTCCTGTATGGGTCAAAACACAGCTCCACCCATGCATTTGCCTGTAAAATTCTAGACATTCTCCCAAGCGCAATGTGTGTTAAAAATGGTTATTTCTGCTGGGAAAAGTTCTCTGGAATGTGTATATAATGTGATTCCTTCTTCGAGCAGCAGGGAAAAGATTCACATAAATGTTAACTCGAGTAGGGTGAAAGGGAGCAATTCTGCTCTGGGGTTGAAACGATGTGGCCTCGTCCTGCTTTTGATCCATTGTATTGCTCTCTAATCCATAGGCTTCTTTTGCTAGATGATCCCCTCCTCAGCCCCTGTGAAATGTGGGGGAGGTGAGATTAGCCCATACATGTTAGCTCTCAGCTGACTGTTCAGCAGCAATTAGCTAGTGTAAACACATCACAGCTCTGTCGAGATTGCTCTTTAAAGCCAGATCTACATTAGAAACATTTTCTGGTACTACCACAGTGAGATGAACAGCATTTTTAGAGGAACAAAAGCTCTCATGTTGGTATAATGCAGCAGTATAAAGACACTCAGGTCTGTCCCTTTTCTGTACCAAACTAGAGCAAACTTGGATACTGGTCAAAGCTTCTATAGTGGGAAAGTTTGCTGCTTTTTTGGTAGGACTCAATCTTTCCCAGCACAGATGTGGCCCAGGTCTTTCTAAGATTACTTCCCCCTCTTCACTGGCTCGTAGGTACGGAAACTTTCTCCATCATACTCCACATTGTGAAAAGTTGTATTGTTCATGGACAGTAGCTGCCTCCTGGCACTTGGCATTTGTTCACCTCGAGCACTTTGCCATTGATCCAGGCCAGGAGGGAAGCTGGAAAGTTGTGTTTTTCCAAATCACAAAATTGTACGTGTCTTAGGACTCTCACAGGCTGCAGGCTACATGACCCTAGGCAGACTGAGAGGAATTAGAAGTCAGTGATTAGTCAGCTTGAGAAATAAGAAAAGCGTGTCTAATTATCAGAGTAATGAGGCTTTGGAAAAACCTCTCAGCAGAGGCCAAGAGAACAAACTGAGTTTGGGAAAAGACTGAGGAGGTCCCCAGTATATCAAGGGACTGGACGTTGTGGTCCTGAGGTACCCTCTGGACCTGTGGAGGTAGCAAGAAAGTCTGCCTTACTGAATGGAATAACCATGGATTTAATCTGTCCTGGCTGGGAAAATGACTGCCCATTTACAGGATTTAAGGGGTACATCCAGAGAGGAAAACTGAATTGAGTTACTATGTACAGAGGTGGTGTCTGGCTTGTGAAATCCCCGAGTGGAAAATAGCTGAGGAATATAATTCTTGCAATAGTAGAGGAGGTATCATCATTGGCTTGCCCACTTCTGACTCTTCCCTGGGCGTCTGCTTATAACCACTGCCTGAGACAGGACCCTGGGCTACCCAGGCCCAGGTCTGAGTCAATACAGCTGGTTCCTTAGTCTTCCAGCAAAGACACGACTATACCAGAGTCCAAATGGATGCAGATGCCTGGCTACAGCAGTGGGTACCGAGACTGTTCATTAAAGTTTCAGAAAAAGCTTTTGTCTCTGTGATGGCACTGTGTCCACTCTGGTGAATCGGCTGCCTTTGGTGGAGAATCACTCTTCCCCAGTTGTTCCTTCTGTCTCATAAGGATGTCGGTCCCACAGTCTGCTCTTGGACGTGGGGACACTCACAGTGGGTGTCCTGTGCCAGGCCTGTTTTGCAACCTGGTAGGTGTCTCTGACCTCAAGGACACCTACACATGAGCTGACAAGAATGAAGTCGTCTTGCTCTTGATCTTTACATGGGTCAATGGGAAAAGCTGGCAAAAAGAGCTGGATGACAGAGTCTGTGGTTGAAGTCGCCAGTCCAGATCACTTTGATCCTTGATTCCCGAGGCCAGCACCCTGAGTAGGATGCAGAAACCAGTGGAAGACAGGAGGGAGTCACTCTTGGACACCACATGTTGTCTCAGGAATAACCATTGCATGGCACAGGGCAGTAGATGAGGATGAATACGTGAAATGCAACCAGTAGGGTCTCCTAGAGAGACCGGTTGGTGCCTGGTTTGTCAGGCCTTTGCTGTCTGGAAGCTGTCAGTCATCATGTCCAGGATGTTCTGTATGGAGGTGAGGGAGCGTTGAAAGGTTCTGGTGAAGCCTCACTAATGCAGATGTCAGTGGATTTGTTTCTGCAGCCAGGGCTGTTGATGAGAGCTCTGCAGGCCAGCCGAGCTGGTTCTAGGAGGAAGGTTCCTGTTCCACTTGAAGGCTGGTCATCTGATATGCATCTGCCCATCTAATCCTCACATCCTCACCCACAGGCTCCTCTTACATTTCGCTGCCCTGGTACAAGAAAAGCCATCTGTTCCCAAGTATCAATAATTAATGCTCCTCCTGCCTCTGCCCCTCCCAATATGACAAATTGTTTGTGATATTGTGGAATGTGAAGAGCAGAGAGAGGATTGCATTTCTTTCTTTCCCATTTAATATTAATGGTAGCTGGTAATTGTTAGTCACCTGAGGGTGAAGTTGAAAGGTGAAGGGCATGATAGTTAAGTCGTGCCTTCTGCAGTTGCCCTCAAAGAACACACAAATGGAGATTTGCCTCAGTCTAGACCGGAAGCGCACTGCACACTCTGCTTGAACAGAGACCTGCACGTGGTTTGCAAATCGTGAGGCTGCCCTGCATTAGCACCTTGTGCCAGATGTTGCCCTTGGCACTAATGAAAGAAGATTGACCCAGAGCCAAGCTCTGCCAAGGTTTTTGTCTGTTCCTTCTGCTCTGACACCCAAAGGCCCAAGAGCATCCACAGCACTTTTCTCAGTGTTACTTTGGACCTCTGGGATTGTGTCCAGGTCCAGTTTTTCCTGGTCCTCCTTTACATTTCAGCCTCTAAATGAGCTACTAAAGCAGGCTGTGCCTTGAAATTATGCAAGGATCATCTTTGTCCTCTGTCTGGCCTGCAGACCCATGCAGGCTGGAGTACTCGTTCCTGGGTAGGGGAATGGAAAAGGTTTGCTTACGTAGCAACATCACAGCACTGAAACAATTGCCATGGGATGCAGCTGTTCCACCATAACGAACATCTCGGGCAGGAGCCCCTGCAGTTTCACCAGGCTTTGGTGGGGCAGAACCTGTATTTCTGAAGTACAAATCTTTTCCCTGACTGCCAGGCTCCTCCAGCCTGAATGACCGAAAATCTTCAGTGTTTAAGCCTGGAGAGCAGCTGCAGGGAAGCACTCCAGCTCCACCCTGAAACCATCACTGTCTTTACAGAGGAAATGTAAACACCAGCAGCGTCCTGGGTCTGGAGGTGCCACGTGTGTGTGTGTGTGTGTGTGGCTCATGGGAGCCTCCCTGGAACATCCATCAAGCCCCTTCCCTTGCCTGGTGTCCTCAGGGGGAACAGGCCTGCTGGAGAGCGTGCAGCAAGGTGTGTCGCTGATTTACACTTGAGGCCTGCTTGACATCTCTCTGGACACCCTTGAAACCCTGTGACTCATCTCCAAGGAATTTGTTCTGATTACATAAAAAAAAGCCAGCAAAATGCACTCCCTTGCTCACAGCTGGGCGGAGATGCCTCTCCCATGCCAAGACTGAGGTGATAACATCTCTGTGGAAATGAATGTGATTTTTCCTGTTGCTCTGTGGGACTGGCGGCTGAATTTCCAAGAGGTGGAACAGGCAGCCCCAGTGTATAGTTTTGCTTAGTCTTTGCTTTCCCCGCGGGGGTAAAAGCCCTCAAGGTCCAAGATTGTGCTGCAATTGCTACCGCAGGAGGCAGCTGCCTCCACTGCCTCTTCCAGCATCTCAGACTGCCAAGGGCTGGGCAGGCGTTTCCTGCCCCAGAGGAAAAGGCTCTGTGAGGAGGCAGATGCTCTGGAGCTTCATCGGTGCTACCAGTCATGGGGAGGTGTATGGTCTTGGGACCCTGGCCAGTAGTATGGCTGCAAATGGATTCTCCTGTGCTTGTGAGTGCTCATGGGAGTAGATTTCTGCAGTTAAGTCCTGGATGGCTTCCTTAGCCTCTGTCCTGGGTAGTGGAGAAGACCCTTTTCTGTTCATAAGCGTGCTCTGGAGAGCTGGAAGCACACTGGTGCAGTGCTTTCAGTTTCAGGCTGTGAGCTGGAAGATCAGTGCTTGCAGTGCAAAACTGCTCCTCGATCCCAGCTCTGCTGCCCAGCACCTTCTCCCTTGTCTCTCCTCTTCTCCCCATCGTGGCCAGGGGTGCAGAGTCCCTGGCTTGCACTTCAGCAGGGGTTTTCTGGGTGGTATGAAGACACTCTGCTGTTCTTTGCTCTGTTACTGGGAGACCACTGCCCAGTAGACCCCATGCTGTTGTGTAAATTCTCACAGGTGATTTTTCAGCTCTGATCCTGTCTCTTTGTTTTAACTTACAAAATGCAGAACGTCCAAGTGTGTCATCTCCCTTCAGTTACTATTTTCCCTATTCCCAATAACTTTGCAACAGCTTTCGACCCTTGGCTGCTTCTATTAATGCTGTACAGAAAATTATTGAGTCCTTGCCAAGGTGTCTGCTCACTTGTTTCTGTTTTCGTGGCAATGACTCCATTGGAGCTGAATTTTGATATAGTTTATTGTATTTTTATTTCTTGCTCAGGTCCTGTAACGCTTCCTGCCCAAGCACTCCATAAAAGTGTATTTTTAGCACAGGTCTTCTATTTTATTACTGTCTTCTATTGAAGTAGGAGTGTCATGTCCACTGGGAACATAGGGAAGGAAACATGGAAATAGAGGTGAGGAAAAAGGGAATAATTTTAAAATAGAGTGAAGGCTTTTCCAGATAAAAAAATGAATGAACCTGCCTATAAGGATTACAATAGACCTTCATTGCTAATGGCAGAACAGGCTAGTGTTTCAGGCAGAAATTATTTCAGGATGGGAAAGTGACAGTGTTTAGAATAGTAAA